GCATTACAGAAAAAATATTTATTGTAAGTTTTTACTAAGTCTTTGTGACAAGTGCATTTGACATTTTTGATAAAAATTGGTTTTTGTGGACAAAAAAGTGAAAATAACTTGCTCTCATTCATATTTTATACAAAACGTTGATTGTTTCCATTTGTTTTATCTCAACTCCGGTCAAAATAGGTTTTCATTAAAAATGAAAACAGTTTTGTATAAAACAATATTAAACAATGTTTTGTTTCTTAAAGAAGACAGATTCCATGTAAAAGTTGGTCCAAGTTCATTTTCATGGCTCTGGCCAAGTATTCTAAGAAATGTTGTGCATGTTGAACAAGTGTAACCTCCAATCAAATGACTTGCATGCAATCTAGCAATTTTGTAATCAATCATAGCAAGCATGCTATGAGTTATTGTACAAGTAGAATTTCCAAAACAGRAGATGTTCTTTGTAAAGGAATAACAGGAAGTTCAAACCTACAAAATGCTATTCAGAAAGTATCTATAATGTTGTGCATGCTGTTTTTTGATGATGTAAGTAATGCCGGCTCATACCTCYACCAGCAGTAGGCGACTGCAGRGRTATCAGAARCCAGCAGCCAGTGAAAGTCGCCAGTTATAGCTTAGTTAATTKCCGGCTTCCTACGAATTTATTCRCAAATTATTTGGCTGTACTTTTCATATTTTTGCGGGTACTTTTCTTATTTTGAYRTCTAATTTTATTTCTAAAGAGGTTGAAATAGTGCTTGTTKTTGTAGTTATTTCCATGTTCCTTCTGTTCAACCACTTAATTTTTCTTAACTAGCATATCATGATAGGTATTTTTAACTGCCTTGACTCACAATTTTTGCAAGAMCAAAAAGTAAATGTATTTACAATAAAAAGTTTTATTAGCTTTGTTGAAATATGGAAKCTGCATGTATAGTCTTATCAGGGACCGAGTCTTGAATTCTTGAGAAAGAAAAGCAATTTATATTCACAAATATAGGTACACGAATAAAGTGAGTGCTTTTGTTCTTTTCTATGAGATTGGTGATACATGAATGGAAATTTAGATGGTTTAAAATGGCTTTTGAATTGAAGCAAGAATTTTACACTTAGAATTTTATATAAATGTTTAAAGAAGAAAGCAGATAGATGTAATAAACAAAGTATACAAAATAATGGGGTTTTATGTATAATTTATTACTATTTTTGAACTTTGGTCTTGCGAGTCATTTGCATGAAATGTTATTTATTATGACAAAAACGAATGTTTCCAAGTGACTTTAATATGGACTCTGTGTCTTTCTAGCCAATTAACATCTCTGTTCATAGAGGGCWTGAATAATACATTAATTTTATGCCCATTTAAGATTGACATTTTCTGYAACAGGTATATGAACACCTTACTCAAACACCTATCATTTTTCTCTATTATTTKTCTTCTTTCTTGATAATTAGTTTTGTTGATCATCAAAACAATGCTTTTGGATGTTTCTTTACAGATGTTAATGAAAAAAGTAYATTTGAAATACCATAGCAACATACGCACATCAGATTTGCTTGTTAGAATAGAAAATAAATGAACAAACTTAMATATTTTTATGCAGTTTGTAAGGCCCACTGTTTATTTGGCGAGTTTTTCATTAGTGTTATCATTGATGTATTTTTGTGGTCCCCTAAACATCTGCGACAAGCCATGTTCAATTATTCATTGTGTTAAAAACATAGTGAAGTGGACCGTATCATTTCAATTTTCTAGGCTGACCAACTCACAGAAGAACAAATTGCTGAATTCAAAGAAGCTTTCTCACTATTCGACAAAGACGGAGATGGCACAATCACCACAAAGGAACTGGGAACAGTCATGAGGTCTCTTGGACAGAACCCWACAGAGGCTGAATTACAGGACATGATCAATGAAGTCGATGCTGATGGTAGGCACATGACTATTCCCAATGCAAAACATAATTGACATGGACGGCAAAAGAAAAATATTTGGGGGGCACTGAGTTGTTTGGGAGGGAGGGGGCAGACAACTAATAGATAGTGATTAGGTTGTCAAGTTTATGAGTGCATAAACAATCAACAGTATTCCATTTTCAAGTTCGAGTGGATAACCGCTGTTTCATATTACAACAGATTCTTTTGCGTAAAAGGGTTTTTCTCCGGATACTGCAGTTTTCCTACCTCAGTAAAAATCAACATGTGAGGAGTGTTGTGTGCTAAAATACTTAATGTTGAGGTAGTGAGTGTGAGAGTACAGGGTCCGCAGTAATTGGCTTACGCTGTTGCATTCTCCCTGACCCAAGTAGGGGTAAAAGCTAATAAATTTAGATTTAGATAACAACATTTTTTCATGGTTTCTTTGTTTCTGCAAAGGCTTTTGGGCAAGAGAATCTGTTTTCAAATAAATCAGCCATTATCCACTTTGAACTTGAAAATAGAGTATTCTATTTAAAAGATTAAAATTTAATTTAATTTATTTAATTTATTAGCTTTGCCCCTAGTATGGGCAGGGACACCAACCAAATTATTGGTTTTGCAGTGTATGATTGAGTAGTAGTATTTTAGAATCTCGATCAACAATTTTGTTCCCTATAGGTAATGGTACCATTGACTTCCCTGAGTTCCTGACAATGATGGCAAGAAAAATGAAGGACACAGACAGTGAAGAAGAAATCCGTGAAGCATTCCGTGTATTCGACAAAGACGGCAATGGCTTTATTAGTGCTGCTGAACTTCGACATGTAATGACCAACCTCGGAGAAAAACTAACAGATGAAGAAGTCGATGAGATGATCCGAGAGGCTGACATTGATGGTGACGGACAAGTCAACTATGAAGGTAGGTGTCTTAGAAATTGAATCATAAATCCATAAACTGGACTTTGTCTCAGATTTAAAGCTGTGGTTACACACAAAGTTGACAAGTTACATTATTWTTTTTTTTTCGGTCCTGTATCCTAGTCATTCGCGCGCTGTGATTGGCTAGCGCAAAGTCCATTTTTTCACAATCTGTCAGGTCCGACGGTATCCTGCAGCTAGGCTGCGAGCAAAGTTGCATAAAATACAAATAAAAAAAATACAAATATTATTTACTGGCTATAGGTTGGTCCGTATAGGAAAAACACTGCCCTCCGTACTGTCAAGACCTCGGGCAGTGTTCTCCTATATATGTATACATATATGTATGTCATTGCTGAGTTTTAGCCACAGTTTGAGATGRCAGTTTTGTTTTGACACTATTAGTCTTAGCTCTACTTCACAACCAGATCAACACTTAATTTCTTTGGCATAAACTGCTAGTTTGTTTCTATCAATAATGGCATGCCAGTGTAATATATTATATCAAATGTTTTCACAATGTCTTGCTTAATATTGATACGCGCCTGTATGTATTAAAATGAAACGAAAATAAAGTAACCTGGACATCTTTCAAATAATGTAGAAGATATTAAGGTCATAATCTATCATTAGGGGAAATAACAACAACAAAAGAAYACTAATGAGTGGAAAACATTGCACCTGAATGATATTGAAATTTACATGTATTGTGACATTGCTGGCCGTTGATGTTGAGATTGAGCAATAGCACTATTGTTGTTTTATCAACTCTAACATTTGAATCATTTTATATTTCAGAATTTGTCAAGATGATGACATCCAAATAAATAACTTATTCTTTATATTAAACGTCAAGTGCAGGGCTCAAAATAACGGCTGGACATATGCAGGACACGATGTCCTTCCAAATTCATTTTGAAAGGACAATTTTGAAAAAGGACAAATTTTGAAAGGACAAATTTTGAAAGGACAAAAATTGTATACTATTATTTTCCCAATGTCAAGGGGACATTGCCATATCAATTCAAATTAAAACAGGGTAAAATAAACCAGAAACTCTTTTATGGATGCTATTTTACTCATTTCAAACGAAAAGTAAGAAATTTAATCAAGTTTGTAAAAATTTGTGTAGTGAATTGGGAATTGATAGGTTTTTTTTGGCTAAAAATGTGGCAGGTCAATTTGTCCTTTCAAAATCTGATTTGGCCGCTCATCTAGTGAATTTGGAAAGACATTGTCCTTTGACTGGCCGTTATTTTGAGTCCTGCAAGTGTAATAGAGGATTGCTTTTGAGATGCACAAACTTTTACAGATCCATCCCTATTAATTCCAGTTCTTTCATATTCTAGTTTCAATAAAATTACCTCAGCTGCACTCGCGCACACATTTCAATTTGTAAATAAGATCCTAGACCACACTGATGCTGATCTATGGTCATGATTTAGATTCTTGTTACATATGCATGATGCATGTCAAACTTAATTCCAATCGCCTCCTGTTAAATAAATAAAAACCCTTGGGAAAAATATTGCTGTGTTCAAGTATTCATTGCTACTGGTATTGGTGCATAAMACTGGATGTATGCAGGCTAGTATCAGTGCAGACTAAATCAAAAATTTAAAACTGAATTCTCATCAATTTTCATGGCAGTTCTCAGATATGTGTTAGTTACTTCTATACACACAAATAACAAAGGCATAGCACATGACCTTTGACTCTTCTTTGGAATTGGGCAAATATTGAAGGAAATGAACAATTATTTTTTAAAGTTGCAATTTGTTTTTATTGTTCAATGCTACACGTGCAGTTGCATTAACTTATTCTAAGGTAACATTGATTCATAAATGTGTTTTTGTGAAATATAAGTGTTATACTAGCTACTAGTAGTGGGTGCTTCCTTTTTCCRACCAATATTTTAAATCGTGCTGAGCTGGATAAGGAACTTGTGAATGAAGCTACAAATAATTTGTTTCTTCAGGAAATTYAACGAAATATTTCAATTATCTGAAATATCCTTCAATTTAATTATGAATATTTAACATCAAAGAAAGGATTGATTGCTGCTGATCAGTATTCCCTTTGGAAGAACTGGACAAATTCTGAAAAAAAGAAATAAATACTGTATCAAATATTAGCTATTYTAYTTGATTCTTTTCGGGCTCCCTGTGGAAAGAGARGGGGACTGGACACGACACCCAAGAAAAAAAATGACGAAAACAGAGAACTTTTAAAACAGGGCTGCATTTAATCATGGGTTGCAATGTCTGCAGCTGGTGGAGTRACTTATCTCAGTGCATGGTATACTATTCATCCTTCTTTAAACAACTGTTCCAGAATGGGATCATTGACATAGTAAGTAAACAACCCCTACAGATGGGATGCATGCGGTGAAATGATGCACCAATATTTTAGTGATTCAATTTGAATTAGGAGTTCATAGGACACTGGTGAAAAGCGCACTGCGCATGTCCACTGTTCCCACTGAAATCTGCCTAATTTCCTTTGTAAAGCGATTTTTGTGAAAGTTTTTTACAATTTATAAGTTCATTCACTGATATATAAGATTCATTTTTCCATCAATCATTGTTCATGATAGGTCCTTTTAGTATGTAGTTTCTATTTTTATCTTGTCATTTCTATTTTGAGAATATGAAGTTTTTCATAGTGTTTTCTGTGTTGTCACTGTAAATCGCCAGGCACTCTGTTTACAGTTCAAGACGCCCACTGGCGGGAAAGCTGTGGGCACGCGCAGTGCGTTTTTCACCAGTGTCAGTTCATAGAGAAAAAGAAAAAAAGTGTTATCTTTGCCCTTCCCATAATGCACTTAGTGTACTGGTAAAAAAGTGAGCAAAAGRAATTTCTTGAGTGAATCTACCTGTATAACAGACACGACCATCCAAGTCTATGTCAGCATCAGTAATCATCCTTTGAAGTTCAGAATCAGACAGGCTCTCTTTACATTCAGTCATTGTCCGTTTGAGGTCATCAAATGAAATGAAGCCATCTTTGTCTTTGTCCATCATTTTGAAGGCAGTACGAATCTCTCCCATGTTTTGCTTTTGTGAGGAGGTCATGAGATGTAGAAACTCATTCAAATCAATGTTACCACTTCCTGTCCAAATAGTTATGAATGAAAATTCCATTTCAGATTTGTGTACATTTAAACACTGTAATTTCTACCCCCTTCCAGCCCCTTTTCAGACTCTCTGTCCTTGAAACATTTTTCACACATTTTCTAAATTCTATATATATATAATAGAATTAAGAAAATGTGTGAAAAATGTTTCCTTTCTATTCATGCTGTAGTCAGTGCGATGTTGAACATGATCATTACAAAGGAAGCCCAAATGGGGAAAAGGCAAGAGGAGGCTATTTCAAATTTTTATTCGCATTAAAAAAAMGACAAAATCTAATCTACATGTTGATGATTGTGCACGGTACTAGCAGTTTGCAAGTTGAAATGTTCAGAAACTTCATCAACTTTTAACAACCCATGATTCTTCCATYGCAAGAAAAAATGAAAAAGAAAACAGAAACTAATTAACAATTAGACCTCGAGGTCGAGTGGACTACGAGCTAATAGCCCATGAGGCCGAGTCCGCGAGGCCGAATGGGCTATTAGCTCGTAGTCCACGAGGCCGAGAGGTCTAATTGTTTTAGTATAAACATACTAATCGGTCAAATAATGAAAACAAATTGAAATATCCTTAAAATAATTTATAATTTATAATTTATTTATTTTGATTTTCCCACGAGTGGTCTATCACAAATTAGACCATTAGTAGAGTAGCCAATCACAGCGCAGTATGAGTGATAGACCGTTAGTATGTTTATACTAATATATTTTAATCAAAATTTATATTTCAAATAAACGGTATTTTGATTCTTACCATCCTTATCAGAACAAGCTATCATGTCTGCTATTTCTTGGTCAGATGGTGACTGTCCCAGGGCATGCATAACATTGCGAAGCTCATGGGTACAGATGGTTCCATTGCGATCCTTGTCAAACAGGTTGAAGGCTTCTTTATATTCTAAACACAAACAGTAAGCTTGCATCACAAATAAATTATAGAATATTGAATAAAAAAACATTAGATTTTATATAAGATTAAAATGGCAACAGTTGTTCACTTCCAAGGTAAAAGGTTGGGTGTAAACAAAGGGGGGGGGGGGGGGGGGGGGACAAACAGAAAGAGAGAGAGAGAATGTTAACTCTATGAGATAAACTATATCTCGTCCCTTTCGTTTTTTTTCTTCTGTAAAAGAGAGCTCTAGAGAACAACAAAAGAACTTACCTGCTAACTGCATTTTTGTTAATTTATCAGCCTGTGAATAGATAAAACGAATACACATTGACAAAAAGATACAAAATAACACTGCTCTCACCCATTACTATTTAGCCTGCGTGAAGCTGAATCAAAGCTGTTGCTTTAGTTTGGGTTTGGCTGCACTAAGGCTAGTTACTATAAAGGGTAGGAGAAATGAAAGGAAGAAAATGAACAGAAATGAGAATGAATGGAATGATGGAAGAAATTAAAGCATGAGTGGGTGATTGGTAAGATCAAAAATATTAACAAAAATATTATGAAAARGCAAACCGAGCAAATTTTGTGATTAGTAATAATCATAGCAATAAATATCGAGTGTCTTAAGCACTCACTGAATGACATACAATAAAATATACATCGAGAGAGATGGAGAAATAGAAAAGTATCATCGCCAAGACTTAATTGAGATACAAAATAAACTGTAATCCACTGCTACAGTGACCTATGACACCTATAATTGCAAAAATAGTCAAGCCTTCTATACATCGAAAATACGAGGACACATTTTGACGCAGTTGAATGTAGTCTAGATTGGATGATAAATCACCAAACTTTCATTCTTTAGAAACTTCAATTACAAAATAAAGAGCAAAAGAATACTCTTTCATATAAAATGAAGAAAAAAATATTTTGAATATCAACCAAAATATGCAAGGAGTGTACCTAAGCTTTATATACCGAAAACAATTTGCATACTTGGAGGCTGAAACACTGTACTATCTGAATCAACACAAGATTCTATTGGGATATAYAACTTGTAGAATACCTTGAATGTACTATAACTACCATGTCTTTGTATGACAGGCTGAATGGCATCGGCGTTATTTACAATAAGAACCTCTGTATCTCGTCCTTCGGCCATCATGCTATCTTGTTTACATTGATAACCGAAGGGGGAGTGGATAGTGGTAAWKTGTAAGCCTGTAAGCGAGGCTCTATTGTTGATATACCTTTAAATTTAGCACGCAAAAATTCTAAAAGTGCAAAAATATGACTTTTGACTGTTGAAATATTAAAAATATACTAMAGAATATCTCTTTTTTGATTGGTAACAAGTCGCAGTATTATAATATTTGAAAGTTACGAGCTCAATTCAACAAAATGGGACTCGGCAATCTGATAAATGTTATAGCTGAAATAATTGATATATTGTCCATAATAATTTTTAATTTTTTCCATCTTCCAATAAATAAAATATCTAAATTAAAGTTTATTTAATAAGATATTAACCATAAACAATGCTTAGTTTTCTAGAACAAAATAGAATCACTCATCTACATCAAAAGACGCGCGTCTCGCATCGCTCAGATCGAGTCCTCGTAAAGCAAAGCAAGRCCMAAATCGATTTTATATATAAGGAGAAATATCGCCAATTAAAGTTATACATGCATAGAAAAGAAATAGTGTCTATTTTATCAACCTTGAAGACTAAAATTGTGAGATTTGACGGCAAAAGGCGTATGCAATCGACCGCGAATCCGAGCAAAAAAAGACGCGAAACTGTAAATATCACTGATAATGGAAACAAAGTATGTTTTGCTCGAAATAGCGAGTAAGACTCGACTTTCMCAAAAATTTTAGCAGTTTACCATCGCGTACTTACCATTTCTGATTATTTTCCTTGCAAGGATAGTATACAGCCAAAGAGCAATACCTAGTCGATCAAGTAGCGACACCACAGACAAGTCAATGTATTCACTCAGAGTAATTTACATACATTTGGTATTCATTAGCTATTTTAATCAACAATGCCCGAATATTGTTTTTGTTTCATTCACCTTAGGGACTTGCAAAAATGTGTACTATTTTTTACTTTGCTCATACAGTACTGTATTCAAGTCGTCATGTACAGAATCCCAATATATTRTATATATTTTATTATAATAATAAAAAAGATAAAAGTTAATAAGATTTATTATGTAGATGAATTCTAACGCGCGCTCTGATTGGCCAAAAGAGTGTGGTTTATGACAGTATAAACCACGATTGTGCTCAAAAAGATTTTTGCTCAAAATCTATAATRAAACAAGTAAATATAAGGCTAAGCCTGTGGTTTATACTCTGATAAACGCACGCTTGGCAGTTGAAACACACGAGAAAATGTCAAGAAGCACGAGCTGAAAGCGAGTTATTTGTTAACTAATAACAAATCCAGACCAAATCCAATGTTGAGGTGTTGTGGGTAGCCATACTTGCGGTTTTTACGTTTTTTATTTTAGTTTTTTTAACTCGAAGATTGCGAAGCAATCGAAGAGTTATAGGAGGGAGATAGATGATGGTGTGTGAGGTGAGATGGACTAGTTAATAGGTCACTTATTTTTTTCTGTAAACATACGGGCATTTAGAAATCCGTAACCAAGATGGCCAGGTGTTTTGGTTTTAAACACACAAAATGTGATTTTTGAGGTCTGGACGTTCTTGTATAAGATTCTTACCAATTAATCTGTTGATTTCAGAAGTCGTTTTAGGAGATATAGTGTGGCTCATAGATACAGCATTAATTCTATTACGATGATTTCAAGGATTATTCCAATATATGTCGATCAGT